GAGAGGGAGAGGGAGGAGGAGGAGGAGGAGGAGGAGGAGGAAGAGGAAGAGGAAGAGGAGGAGGAAGAGGAGGAGGAGGAGAAGAAGAAGAAGAAGAAGGAGGAGAAGGAGAAGGAGGAAGAGGAAGAGGAGGAAAAGGAGAAGGAGAAGGAGGAGGAGGAGGTTGAGGAGGAGAAGAAGAAGGAGGAGGAGGAGAAGAAGAAAGAAGAAAGATGTGAAGGTTCTGGTGGTGGAAAAAAAACAACAGAAAGAGCCAGAAGAGGGACCAGGAAAATAGAAGCTATGAGGGGAATGACGAAGAGGAAAAAAATGAAGAGTACGACCCAGAAAGAAACAAACCCCTAAAAGAAACGAGATAGAGAGAGAGACAGAGATAGAGGGGGAGAGAGAGAGAGAGAGAGAGAGAGAGGGAGAGATAGAGAGAGAGACAGAGAGACAGTGAGACAGAGAGAGAATGACGTCACAGGTAGACCTAGCCGAAGTCCCCGGGGCTGCCTTGGCGCGTCTCCACATCCAATCAAAAGGCCATCTCCTCAGGGGGAATTTTTACACTTGGAGAGGGGGGGAGGGGAAAGAGGGGAGGAGAGAAGGGAGAGAAATGAGAGTGGGGAGTGAGGGAGAAGGAGAGAAGGAAGGGGAATGTGGGTGGGATGTGAGGGGAAAGGAGAGGAGGGAGAGAAATGAAGGTGGGGAGTGAGGGAGAAGGAGAGAAGGAAGGAGAATGTAGGTGGGATGTGAAGGGGAAGGAAAGAGGGGAAGGGAGTGAGGGGGAAGGAGAGGAGGGAGAGAAATGAGGGTAGGGAGTGAAGGGGGAGAGAGGGGAGAGAAATAAAGGGGTGGTGAAGGCAAGATAAGAATGATAAGATAGGGAAGATAAGAATGGAGATGTGTGGAGAAGGAAGGAGAGATGAAAAAGAAAATGGGAGGTGGAGAGGGAAAGATTGAAAATGAAAGTGTGAAGAGAGGAATGTAAGAAGGGAAAGGAAAAAGAAATGGACAATAAGGAAGAGGAGAGAGAAATGGTGAGATCCACGAAGAGAATGGAAAGAAATGAAGAGAGAGGGATAGATAAGGGGTGAGTGGGGGGGGGTACAGAGAAAGAGGGAGGGGGGAGTCGAAGGCAAGTGAGAATGGCTCGAGGGAATCAATGTAAAATGTGATTTCTTCCTCCTTTCCCTTTCCAGATACATCGCCTCTTTGGTGGCGAGGCTCTCGATTCACTTTCAAAAATATTCTTAAAGATATGGCAGCCTTTTTTAATAAGAACTGGTTGATTCATTGATTTCTCTAAAGCATCATAACAAATGAAAAAAAATATATATATTGTAAAAAAATAATAATGATAATAATGATGATGATGATAACAATAATAATAATAATTATTATTATTATCATTATTATTATTATTATTATTATCACTCTCATAATTACCATTATCATTATCCTTATCAAATAATCAACAGATCTACAGATACACGAATACAACCAGAACCAAAAACAAAATGAAACACAAAAAAATCATATAAAAAAAAATAATAAAAAAAACACTTAAACAACAAAAAAAAACTAGCCTCCACAAATAACGATAAGGCAACACACAAAAAGAACACAGACAAACACCCGCCCTATCTCGCCGGCCATCGGTCAAGACAAACTCGAGAACGAAGACAAGACGTCCACAAAGAGGAAGATGAAATCCCCATGCCTCTTCAGCCTCTCCTCTCGCCCCGTCTCTTTGTCAGGCATGAGAGCGAGGAGGGGCGCCTTCCCACGAGGACTCGGGACAAATTTGGTCTTTGATAATGGGAAAAGAGAATTGAAAAAGATGGATGAGGGGGAGGTGGTCGGGATAAGGGAGGAGGAGGAGGAGGAAGAAGGAGATCTAGAAGGAGGAAGAGGTAAGGGAGGAGGAGGAGGAAGAGAAGGAGGAGGTGGAAGAGGAGGGTGAGGGCAATGAGGAGGAGAACGAAGAGAGGAGGAGGAGGAGGTGGAAGAGAGGAGGAGGAGGAGGTGGAAGAGAAGGAGGAGGAGGAAGAGGAGGTGGAAGAGAAGGAGGAGGAGGAAGAGGAGGAGGAGGAGGAGGAGGACGAAGAGGAGGAGGAGGAGGAGGAGGAGGAAGAGGAGGAGGAGGAGAAGGAGGAGGAGGAGGAGGAGGAAGAGGTGGGGGGGGGGAGGAGAGGGAGGAGAAAAAGGAAGAGAAGGAGGAAGAGGAGGAGGGGGAGGAGAAGGAGGAAGAAGAAGTAGGGGAGGCGAGAAGAAGGAATAGAAGGAGGAAGGAGGGAGAAAGAGTACGAAGAAGAGGAATAGAAGAAAGAAGAGTACGAGTAGGAATGAGAGGAGGAGGAAGAGGAATTCCCTTCCTTGTCCTTTCCCTTTCTTGTCCTTTCCTCCTCCGCCTCCCCTTCCCCTCTCGGAGAAGGAGGAGGGTGGATAGGACGAAATGGAAGATATGATGGAAAAAATCCTTGTCCAAATTGACCTAGCTGCCTCGTGGAGCATATCCTAATTACACAGAAGATATTCATTTTTTTTTTAAATACACCTGGTATGCTATTAACATCCTGTCTGTCTGTATGACGTTCTACTCTCCCAATCTACTAATATACTCATTTATCTATCTATCTATTAATCCATTTGTCTGTCTATCTGTCTCTCTATCCACTTATCTGTCAATCTATCCATCTACCTGTCTGTTAATTGGTTTTTGTCTGTCTATCTGTCTGTATGTCTCTCCATTAACCTATCAATCCATCTATATAGTCTACATGAGAGGAGAGAGAGAGTGAGAGAGAGAGAGAGAGAGAGAGAGAGAGAGAGAGAGAGAGAGAGAGAGAGAGAGAGAGAGAGAGAGAGAGAGAGAGAGAGAGAATGAGAGAGAGAGAAGAGAGAGAGAGAGAGAGAGAGAGAGAGAGACGAGAGGAGGGGGGGATTTCATACTGACACTAACAAGGCTTTGGTACACCAGCTGAGCCCGCTATGGGGTCGTAACTACATGTAAAATTGAAGCCACAAAATCAGTTTCTCGCCATTTTCCCCCAAGATTAAAAATGTACTCAAACTTTCTTTACAAAATCCTTGCGAGTTTTAGAAAAGAAATTTCATTTATGCTTTCTCGCTACAGAATGTTATTATGTATAACAAAACATGCTAACGAACATTTAAAATTACACAGTAACCCACACGGTCGTGAACTGCAGACATCTCACACACACACACACACACACACACACACACACACACACACACACACACACACACGCACACGCACACGCACACGCACACGCACACGCACACGCACACACACACATACACACATACAAAGACACACACACACACATAGTAACACACATGCTCACAGATTCAGACTCACACATACAAACACGCAAACACATACACACACACAAACACGCACAAACACATATACACACACGCGCACACACACACACACACATAAACGCATACAAAAAACACACACATACACACACGCAATGTACTCCATTTTGTAGTCTTAGTAATATAAGCTGCATCTCACACGCCGTACGCACATAACGAGCATGTGGCCATGCGGTTAAATTACTTCTGGAATCTTCTGCAACTTACCCAGACGCTCAGGAATAGCTACATTATGACCCTGAAATGCAGTAACCGTAAGAGCCCAGAGGGAGAGCTACACTCCACAGGTAAACGCACTCAGACTATTGCATTGCTAGACACATGAATAATAAAAGTCCCTGTGTAACATAATCCAATTAGCAGGGATAGAAGGGACGATCTCGTTACTCACTTTTTAGGATGTACAAGTAATTGGATCTTATAAGAGCTACACTCATAATAACTGTCATTCTCATCATCATCATCATACTAATACCAATAAAAGTAGTCGTGATAAAAATAATAATAACTAGAACGACAATAACAATATTGATGATGATAATAAAAAAAATCGTAATGATAATGATAACAACATAAATATTACCAATAATAACACAATAACAGAAACAATACCAATACTACTAATCCTACAATTAATAAAGATAATAAAAAAAACTTCCTAATAATAAAACACTCACTTTCCACCCTGCCAAGACACACCACTTTCCGAACGGTTCCCAGTACAGTAAGAAGCGAGCCAGGCCACCCATCTCAGGCTAATAACTCTTAAGGTATTTTAAGCACAGGATTCTTTGATCGCCGAATATCAAATTAATGTCCAATTAACCTAAGGAGAGGTGTAATTAACTTCTTTCCGACACAATGACGATAACGGAAGACACATCAAAGGTGTAGAGATGGCTATGAACGAGAGGGCTATCCCAACGTGCGGCTGGGAGGCGGTTTTGATGTTTGCGGTAAAGGGGGGGGGGAGACACGAAGGGAGAAGAGAGAGAGGGAGAAGAGACAGGAGAGGGAGGAATGAGAAAAAGGAGAAGAGAAGAGGGAGAGGGGAGGATGAGAAAAAGAAGAAGAGAAGAGGTAGAGAGCGAGGGAGAGGGAGGAATGAGAAAAATGAAAAGAAATGAGGAAAATAGAGGGGAAGAGAAAAGGATAGAGGAAGGAAGAGTTGGAAAGAGGAGAGAGAAAGGGAAAGGGATGAAAGGAGGAGTGAGGAATGGAGATGGAGAAAGAGGAGAGGGAGAAGGAAAGGGATAAGATAAAGAAGAGGACTGAAAAGTGAGAGGGAGGGAGTGTGTGATAGGAGAGCCAGCGAGAAAAGCAGAGCGTTGATGAATCGTCTCATATACAACAGAAGGCACCGCGTTGGTTAGATAAAAAAAAAAAAAAAAACGCTGAGTGTGCAATATATCTACCAGGTAAGTGGTACTAACGTTTGAAATTACACAGAAGCCCACGCGGTCGTGGATTGCAAACTTTCACTGACACACACACACACACACACACACACACACACACACACACACACACACACACACACAAACACACACACACACAAAAAAAAAAAAAAAAAAAAAAAAAAAAAAAAACAGAATCATTGTACTTAC